CTTAATCTTGGTGTCTACCGGTTGGCCATTCATCGCCTACGCATGACTGTGTCCTCGACCCTCATGGCTTGTGGTGAAATCGATTGGGTGTTAATATTTTTCGTGCTTGTCGCTCCCCTCGTGACAGGCGAAGTGCCCAAGTCTCTGCTGGACCACCCTAATCGGAAAGGGGGGGCTTTTCAGTTTCATGTTACGGAAGACGGCGCCCCCGTGCCTGGGTACAAGTCGTGGAAAAGTGTCGGCATCCAGTTGGTTCTCGGATACGCTGACGTTGGTACGGATGTGGATGCGGTGGTGTCCTATTACCAGGCCGATCATATGTGGTGGTTTGCCTTGGGGATGATATTCATCATTGGACCTGCCTTGTTCGCTGCAATCGTCTTGCTCCGCCGTGAACACTGGTTGAGGCGGGTCCTAGTTGCTCTGCAGTTGGGGATGCTGTTTGGGGCATTGGTCTCTTGGGGTACTTCATCATACTCCCCTGTACTGGCAAGCTTGCGGGTGATGGAGCCGCTGTATGAGTCGGTCCCGCAGCTGATGTTACAACTGTATGGCCTGCTACTTGAGTGGGATAATGACGGAACTATGTGGCTGTCAAGGCGGCTCTTATCGATCTTGTTCTCCTGCTTTTCTCTAGCCTATGCCACAACGGGTTTGGTGGCGGAGCAGGCGTTGTCTCGACTTGCTCCTACCGCCGACGCTGCGAGTGCGAGTTGTCCCGGCCTGACAGGGCTTGTTTTCGGGGCCGTCCCAGCTAACAGCAGCGTTGCAGTATACAGATCCAGGTGGAATTCCCAGAAGTTTGTATGGGCTTTCTTGTTTTATCAAGTGCTTGAGATAGGGGCTAAGTTCATTTCACTTGGTCTCCTGGCGTTGGTGTGGCGGGCGTACTTCTTCCTCGCGCTGTTTTGGCTTTGGGGTTCTCGTGCGTATGTATTGCGTCGCTTGATTGCTGGGGAACACAGCCTTCGCGTTCGGTCCCAATTTCGACTTGTGGGCATGCCTTTCATGGACTCTGTGATGGATGTCTTACAAACATACGACGTAGGGTGTGCACTCACAACGGTGGAGTTCGTGTTTTGCTTGACGATTGGCAACATGTTTTACACCGATGAGGGGGGTCAGTTGCCTACCGATGTCGGTCGTGTGTGGACGTACGTGGCTGCGGTGTGTATGGTGGGGAAGTTGTGTTTGGGCTACCTGATCGTGAGGCCGTTCAAGAGAGTCGTTCGCTTCGGCACTGAGCAAGAGGAGCAGACCTCAGGTCGACAGCACGGTGGCGGTGATGTTGGCGGCAACGGAGATGTTGACCCTGGTGGGAGTTCTCGTGCTGATGATGAAGGAATGCTCGGGGACACGAGAGCGCGGACAGGTTACGGTGACGAGGGCAGTAGAGGTGTAGTCGCCCTTGCCAGCCGGGGCGCACGCGTACACGAAGGCATGTCGCTTTCCAGGACGGTGAATCGGCGAACACTGTCGTGGACTGCTCTCGAGGACAGCGAGGAGGCGTCACGTGTTGGTGTTGGACTAGATAGACAGGGTGAGCCGGGTAGCGCAGGCTCTTCGGCAGGGCTGGAGATGATGACAGGAATGGAAGAGGGGAAGGTGACGAGCGAAGTAGCACCTTCGGAGGGAACAGACCTTGAGCCTGTTCTGCATATCTTGACCCACGTGGCGACGGGTCGGCTAGTTAGTGATGACGCCGAGGTCCAGGGCGAGGAAGATTCTGCGTAGTGCCTGCAGCGCATTTTCGGTACGCTGGGCATTTATGTGTCACTACTTGGGTAGAAGAATAGCATTCCGTTCCGGCAGAAATGCATGGATTAGGTGAATGTGACGTTGAGCACTCGTCTTCATGAGAAGCGCGTCCAAGATTTTGTGTTTGCTCCGGTGTCGTGATGTACTTTGGTTTGTTTTGGAAATTTCAGTTTGGATTTGGCAGGAAATGCAAATCGCGATCACTGCCACTCCATTCTGCGCCTACACGTGAGTCGAGTAGTTGGCGAGGAAGACGGTGCTGAAGGGAAATGATAGCGGGCTCAGGGTAGTGAATGCCACTCCGCCCTTCCCACGCAAGTCTTTCAAGAATTTCTGTAGTCCCAATGATGCGCCTCTCTTGGCTTCGACAGTTGGATATGCATGTGGTTGTGCCCTGACGCTGCCCGGCCGGTGAAAACTCGGCATGCCGGAGCTGGTTTTGGTTCTGTTGTACCTTTGTGCTTATGCCACCAATGCTTCGGACAAACGACACTATATTCTTGAGCAGAGAACACATTTGAGAAACAGCCCCAATGGCATGTGCTGGTCCCCCGAAGGCCGTACACGCGCCAACTGATTGATGCGCACGGAGGCCAACGAGCTTGACTGCACTGCCTGGGCGTCACTTCGAGTGAAGATGCGATTCTGTTTTCGAGCGGTCAGCGCCCGTTGAACGAAGTGTTGCTTGTGACTTCCATCGGCTTGCTGCGTGCGGTGCCTGTCAGCTTCGATATGGAAGTATTTGCGTTCATGCCCGTGCGCGGGTTCAGCGCCCACCATTTGTGGTACGACCTTTTGACTACCAGACCACACCGTCTCAATGTCGAGTTTCCCACGACCAGAAAACTAGATTCGTGCCGAGAATAGCAGAAATTATGTGTCTTCTCGACAGCAGTAGCGCAAGAACGAATACGGGCCTCACGACGCTCAGCCGTGGGGCCCCCGCCGCCGTATGCTGGAAAAGAAAACCTCCCTCGCCCTCAGCTGTCTGGTCTTCAGCACACTATCGCCAACCTCTTCGCACCTTTGGAAAACCCGTTTAGACTTGATCTACAGCGTAGAGACATGGCTTAACGCAACACATAATCAAGCACATTGCACCTCTTTTCTTGCTCCATGTGTTAGCTGGTCGTTTCTCCACGGTTCACTGGTGTAGACACGCCGAGGGCGAGAACCGCACAGGCGGGTACGCTGTTCGCCAGAATCCACGCGCTCCAGTCGACTTGTCTTGGCAGCCGTGCAACGAAGCCCCAACTACGCCCTTCTTACCGCCGGAAGCAAACCTGCAACATGACACCCATGAATCGTGGTGAAAACACAACCCAACACTTGGATGTGACCCCCAACGGCGGCCCCCCAGTAGCTCGCATCGCTGTTGCAACCGCCTCTGTTCTCTGCCTCACTTTCTAACACCCACGTGCCCCCCCGGGGCTACCAACGTACACACACACCATCGTCAAGTCTCCGCTGCAGCCGTTTGCGAATGCCCACCGCAGACGTCGGAGGTGGCCATGCCAAGCGGCATTGGAGCATACCGGGTCGGGGCCCCCGACATCCGTTCTGAATCGCGTACTGCAGGGCCTCGACGTGGTCCACTTTCGAAGCACTCGAAGGCGTGCCCGAATCCCAATCGCGCCCTTTCTGAATCATGCAGCCACCGGAGAATCGCGAGATGCCGCCCCCCTCGGCAGCTGCTGAACAAGCAAACGCGGGGTTCCCACCCGTCACAACCGTTCTTCCCCTTTGCGAGTTTCAGGATGCCAATCAAGGTGTCCGCTCTTGTCGCCGCATTCCATGGTCGTTGTGTCCCACGAACACACGTTCGCCCGGCGCCACTTCAAACGCGTCCAGATGCCCGCCTTACAACACTACCACACATTCTAAGCGAGACTCGAGCCCGCGCTCTCAACTTCCTGGGCGACCACCTGTGAAAGCCTGTGCTACCGGTTCTTGCACATTAGATTATGCATCCCGAACGAAAAAAGTTGCGACGAGGCTTGGGCTGCTGGGGAAAAGTGTCCTCGTGGACAGAAAATATTACGACACTCTTTTGCTTCATCATCCATCTGCCTCCTGTAGACAACAGGGCGGCGTTGCAATTCAACTGACGGGCGTGCCGACTACCGGAAAACTATACCGGTAAGAAATAAATAACCAATGGAGCGCCATCACAATGTTGGTAACTCTCCCGGGCTTTACCGGTGGAAAGAACCTGACTCGTTGCGTGTGTAATGTGAAAGAAAGGAAGGCCAAACTACACAGGCGCGGGCTGTCTGAAGAACTTGTAGAGCTTGGCGGCGTTCCCTTCTCCTAGCAAGGGCCGCAGCTGCTCCTCGGAGAGCTGGCTGAGCTCGGCGATCGTGTCCACTCCTCGGAGTACCTGCGATAACGGAAACGTAATGATGCAGATCGGAGGGCTTGCTCGTGAGTTCTCCGTTCGACGCATTGGCAGTAGTTGGCCATCGCCCGCTTCGGAAGCAGAGCGCCATCCACATTGTGGAGCGGTTTCAGGGATTACTCGGGACATGTTTCTGAGAGTCAAGTGTCCAGGGGGATCAAGCGCGCATCAGACACAACATGGGGGCTGAGAAGGGTTCGGGGTGCATGCAGTCCATGGCAGGCAGCACACCGAGACCCGTGGGCGGTGAACCATCCAGACTGCATAGATCGAGAGCTACCCATCTACCCAGCACAACTACTACTGTAGTTTTCTTCGTCGGTTTTGCGGTACTTTCGATCGAAACCGACCTACCTATACAGCACAGCTGCTGTACGGTAGTTCCACTCTTCACGCCACCCCCACCCCCCAAGAGATGCCAAGAGCCCCGACTACAGGAAAGACTTATACTTGTCCCTAACGCATCTCCCAGCCCCCCCTTCGTCCGTCGTGCGGTGTACGCGTCTCACGAACAATAATGATTTGTGCAAGCACAGTCTCCTACGTTGGTCGCATACGGAAAAGCGTCGAGCTTCATCCATAGCATAAGCAGCGACACAAACGTGCATGTGGCCAGTCTCGAACGTTTCGAAAACTCCACGACAAGCGACTTCCAACCCTTCCTTCTTACCCTACCCGTCGGGAAAAGTAGGAACATCTACTTCTCGAATGAAAGCAGTCAATCGGTTTCGTACGTTTCGAAAGTTGTACACGTTCACGCCGGGCAGCCGCATCAGCAGCTCTTTGGCGGAGGCGTCGTCCCCTGTCCCCTGGTCATCTTCTCCCCCTCCCCCGGCCGCCTGAGCCTTTGCTACGTCTACCGCGGCGTTGTTCTTCATGAGCTCCTTGAACATGTCTGCGGACGCGTGTTCCGACCTGCGAAGAGATGATAAAAAAAATACATGTGGACAAGAGAGCAAAACCTTCAAGAGGCCCTTGAACACGTCCCGTGTTCGTGCGTTACGACCACCACCAAAATATATATTGATATATATACAGAGAGAGAAGAGATAAGAACGAGGAGAGACAAAAAAAAACAAATACTTCTCGGCAGTCGCGTGTTCTGACCTGTGAAAAAAAAAAAGGGGAACAAACGAATGAGAAAACAAGGACAATAAGTTCTAGAGCTCCTTCAACGGTCGGCGGTCGCGTGCTCCGACCTGGGAAAAGAAAAAAAATGAACACCAACCAAAAACAACGAGTCAAGATGAAGGGGACCGACAAAAGTCGATGAGAGCGAGACCAATATACAAGGAAAAGAGGCACAAATCAAGAACATAACACGACGAAAAACACAAGAACAGAAAGCAGCGTGTGTGTACCACGTGTCTCGACGACAAAAGCAACAACAACAACAACAACAACAACAGCAGCAACAACAAACACGCAGCTCACTTGGACCACAAGATGCGCAGCTGAGGAAAGTGGAGGGTAAGAAGCGTAAGCTGCGATGTGATGGAGGTCAGCTTGATCTCGGAGGTCAGGTCCCCCGACCCCAGCAAACAGAAAGCCTGCATGGTGGGGATTGAGTAACGAGAGCGCACGAGTCAAGGAAAAGCTCGGCAAAGCGACGGATCCCCGGACTGTTGGCGTTGTTTCATGGTAGGAGGAGGGGGCTACGATGTCTGTGCTGGGGGTAGTGCTGGTGGTGTCGCTGTTCGTGTGTGCATGAGCAGATGAGGATATTTCAATGGGACTGTAGGAAGTGACTACGCAGATAGGAATTGATAGTCCCCTGGACTGGGTTTTAATGTTGATCCACGAGCTCGGCTCTGTGGGAGTGCTTACTGCTTTGCGGCACGCCCTCTCCCGACGCGTCTGATCTCGTCTGCTGTCCTGAATACAAGTGGCGCAAGCATCATCAACCGCACTTTTCAAGGGTGTACGAACACTCTGGAGTGAGTGTATCCCTCGAGGGAACCAGGCTGGAGATGGGTGACGCCGACGTTGCAGCAGAGGCTGCCGACGTCACCACACATGAGCAGGGCAGGGTGCGACTTGGAGGGCGAAGTCTCTGGATTGTCAGGCCAAGCGCAGGAGCTGACGGACCTGCTGCGAGCCGCCATAGGACAGGGAGAGAAGGAGGGGGAGTCCGGTGGCTCCACGGTGGGCGATGTCGTTACGGGCGAAACGCCTGCCTGCGGTCTGCTGGAGGAGGGGTCGCACAACGCCGGAAATCACGCCGCCCGCACAGCACGGGGGAAGAAGCACCAGACCGGGAGCCAGCCTGGTAGTGCCTAGGATCCCTGCTGGAGTGGACACGGGCATGGGACCGGGCAGCGGGGACGTCAGGGGGTCATCATCCTAAGAGCAGGCTGCTGCGGTGGGCGCTTGCATAGACTACACGGCTGCAGAAGAGATCATCAGCAGTAGGCCTGTGGCGGCGAACCGGTGCGGGCAGTTGAGGTCCCTGCTAACGGTGAAGCTAATCGTGGGGCTACGGGAAGAAGGCACGGCGGGGGGAGGCGGTAGATAATATCGGTGCAACAAGCGGGGGCATCGGTCAGTATCGTGCAGACCCCGTAGGCAGTCCTGGCGGTCGTGGTGGCAAGCGATGACGAGGAGCTGAATGTAACACGTGAGGCCTTGTAAGAAGAGGCGGGGGAACGACGCCATAGCCGCGCGGGTCACTGCGCGCGCTCCATCCACACACAGCAGCAGCAGCAGCGTGGGAGGGTGGAGACACAGAAAACGGCCGAAAGGCCGTGTGCCCATAGCGGCGACGGAAGGGGCGTGGGGGGCAATATTCAGAGAATACGGCGAGATGGTCGTGTGCCCGTAGCCGCGACGGGAGCGGCGCGGGAGGGCAACAAGAGAAACAGCCCCGTGCCACGCAGGAAGGAGCGTGGGGGAGGGCATAATACTTGAGCAACAATTCAGGCCCATAGCCTTGACGGAAGGGGCGTGGGGGGGGCAACATTCACAGAACACGGCGGGAGGGCCCCGTGCTCGCAGCCGCGACGGGAGGGGCGCGGGAGGGCAACAACCAATGCAGCGCCATGACGCTTCGGGAGGGGCGTTTGGGGGAGGTTAACATAAGCCCCGTGGCGCGTCGGACGGGGCGCGAGGGGGGGAAAAATTCAAAGGCCCCATGGCACGTCGGAAGGGGCGTCGGGGGGGGAGGCAACATTCATCGTGGTGCTCAAACGGAAACACCGTCCGTTTCTGGCGAGGCTACAGGCCGGGACAAGCGCTGGGAGGGGAGCCACACGCATCACAGTGCTGAAAAATGGCACTTCTTTCTGGGCGATATTTGGTGTTTGATGGTGTTCGTAGCGAAGTTGGTATCCTCGTTGGTTGTCGTGAATGCACGTTGGTTGAAGAACCTGGGAGGGTGTTCCGTGTTTCTCGGAGGCGTTCGCGTCCACATGTTTAGTATTTTCCTGGTAGCCATTCGGTTGTTTCCGAAATGTGTAGGAGTATAGAATATCGTTGGAATCGCTGACGGAACGTATGAGGAAAAATCGGGACACCAGTGTTTAACTTCAACGAGAATAGAGGACTGTCGAAAAATGCATGCCGGTCATTGGTCGCTCAGAAATGGTGGAAGATTGCCTCATGCCGCGGTGCGCTGTGTTACGTCAGCGAGGGAAGGCGATTCGATGTTTGTCTGATGTTTGTACAACCGCATGGTAGTTGTTTGGACCACCTCCTCAGGATGGTCTTACGCTATTGCTTATCAAGAATTGGGATGGGCCGTTGTTGGTAACAGGGGGATGATCTTGGTACTTCATGCAGGAAGAATATACTATTATAGTACCCCGCCCACTTTTGTAGGCGTGAATTTCGAGCGTGGACGCTGGCGCTACTGGTATTACGCATGTCTTGATCTTGCTCTAGTATCGCAGCCGTGGCAGTGTGTGATTGAACGGTGAACGGTGGTGGGCGGCTTTGATCCGGAGGCCGGGTTTCCCCCTGTTTTTTGTTGTTGTTTTTTTCGTTTGGGTTTTGGTCACGTTCGGCGTGAGCATGCCCACTAGTGTTTAGTTACTGGCTCAAAGAACCAGAGAGGGTGTTCGTGTGTGCATGAGCGGATGAGGATATTCCAACGGGAATGTAGGAAGTGGCTACGCAGATAGGAATTGATAGTCCCCTGGATTGGGTTTTATGGTTGATCCACGGGGCTCGGCTCCGTGGGAGTGCTTGCTGCTTTGCGGCACTCTCTCCGCGCGTCTGATCTCGTCAGCTGTCCTTAATACAAGTGGTACAAGCATCATCAACAGCACTATACCATGGTACAAGGGTATACAAACATCAACGGGTTGTTGTCTTGGCAATTCCTGCCTCTGATCAGCACCTGCTTGCTAACGCCTGCGGCGGTGCAAAAAAACGTTCACAGGCCACTCATTTATTATTTTACCGTACACTGATACACCGTACGACACACGTCACAAACAAAGAGCACACCGAACATGATCCCAAACGCGACAATATGTACACAAAAAAAAGCGTGAAATAGAAAAACAAGAAAAACAGGCACAACATGACGCGTACAGGCCACGAACAAAGCCTCAGTTATCACTGATGATGTCGAAATGGTCAATACACTCATCGGACTATGTACGTCAACAACAGCAGTCCAATGACAAACGAACGCACCTTGTCAGGGTTGAACTCGATCAGCAAGACGGGCACCTTGTAGTGCTTCAGCATCGCCTCCACCTGAGGACATGGCGAAAGCGCAGTTCGACGAAGGCATCGACGGCAAACGTTTTGTAAAACATGACATCTCTACAAGACAGCAAAAAAAAAAAAAAATGACGGGCCGAGACTGTTTTGGTATTGCAAGTAGTGCTTTGTCATCTCAAAACAAACTAAATAATGGCAAAGGAAGACCGTATGATACTGTTTGTTCCAGGCAGGAGTCTTCTCCAAAACGAACAATCAAACAATGTGTTGCCATCCCGTTCGCGTTGGACATAGATCGTTGCACCTTTCGGCACTGTTTTGGATGCACCAGCCTAGGTCACACAAAAGGTTTTCGCAACGAGCAAGAAATAAGGCGGTGGACGGTGAAGACAAACAGCAATTGTCAAAAACAAGAACAAAAGAGATGGCATCCTTGACAGCAGCAAGAAAAACACCAAATTTGACCGCCCTCACCCATCCACGAAATCGATACTCTCGGCCGGTTCTTGCCTGACACAACAACAACATCAACAACAACGGCATCTAGGCCACGGCACAAAGCCAACGGCACAAAGCCAACGGCAACGATGAGGGCTACGCCAGCCACCCAAAACAAAAACATCAACCACAGGCAGGCATGGTGATTCCACCGCCAATGGCCAGCGCTCTCCACCACAAAAACGAAACAAACCTGGTTGTACAGCCTGCCGGAAGACATGGACTGGAACAAGTCGGACAGGCTCTTTCGCTCGACGCAGATCTGGGGCGTCAGGACGTAGTCGCCGACCGCTATGACCAACGGGACCAGCTCAAACCCTTGCTGAAGAACAGGGGATTGGCGGGGGGGGGCATACTCGTGTTGTGCATGCCTCATGTAGCGGATAGACCATTGACCAGATGGAGATGCGGACAAGGGAGACATGTAGTCGATGTGACGTTGGATAGAGGCGTAACAAACAATAAACAGTGAAATGGCCGTGTCGGATTCTACCTGATGCAGCAGGTTAGGAAGGACGCTGCGGAACTCCCGAAGGTCCACGACTACCCTGAGAGGCGCTTGTGCCTTCCGACGCCCTCCCCTCCTGCTGCTGCCGCTGCTGCCACCATTGCCAGCCTCAGCTAGGGGTGTGGAAAGCCGTGTCACTTTTCCTTCTCGGGCGGTCCGTTCCGCTGGCAAAAACGAGGTCTGAAAGGTGAACCATTACCCGATGGCACGACGTTACAGGAACAGAAGGGGGGGACGCGAGAGACGTCGATGAGGGGGGGGGGGGGGGGGGGCC